CTGCCTCAGCTGATTTATGTGAGTAAACATGACATGTTCCATATCAAAGAGGTAGCTGTGATTGTATTATGAAATGACATCATTGCCCAGCATGGTAGCTCATGTCTCCAATCCCAGTTTTGTGGAAAGTGGAGATCAGAGGATTATTGTTCAAGGGAACGATAGGCAAAAAAGCTTGTGGGATCCCAATCCATCTCAATTCATAAAAGTTGGATGTGGTGGTGCATGGATGTTCTCTCAGTTACATGCAAGGCATAAACAGGAAAATGATGATCTAGATTGACCTTGGCAAAAGGATGAGACCATATTAAAAAATAAACATAAATCAAGCAAAAGGATGGGAGGTACAGTTGTAGTGGTGGAGTGCTCTCCTTGCAAATGGGAGGCCCCGAGTTCATACCCCAATACTACCAAATAATTAAATATCAAAAAATAAAACGTCACAATTTTCCCTGATCCTTCTCTCTTGAACTGTTCTTGCTGTTGTGCTAGCTAAAGAATTAATTAGATTTGTAGACTTATAGTAATATGAATGCTTGCATTCTAAAGTTCACAAATTAAATCCTTCAGTCTCTGTGTAACAGATTTTGGAAGCAAGCCCTTGGTAGATAATTATATCATGAGAATAGAATACTGATAAATATTTGTACAGAATCAGCATTATTATTTTTGTTTCATGCCTAGGTGTAGTCCATTGTGGAGAAAGAAAATATGTAGGGTGTTCTCTATGCTGATGTGAAAAATATTTGTTCTATTGACTACAATGTTCTATAAATTTTTCTAGGTTAAAATTTTCTAAACTTCAGCTCATTAGAGTTATCAGATAAGGAATTAAAAATTATAAGACAGGTAAAAACCTAACCTGAATAATAGACAAAATGTCTGAACTGAAAGTTGGCAAATAACCATATGAAACTCTCAACACCTTATGTCACCCGGGAGCTGCAAGTCAAAATAATAAGCTATTATTACAAATATGTTAGAATAGTTAAAATCTGAACAAATTGTGGGTGAACACATGGCACAAAAAGCACATTTACCGCTGTTGTGAATGTAAAATGGTGCAATCAAATCAGAACACAGTTCAGCAGTTACTTATGAAACTATGTATTTTACCACACTATCTATTAATTGCACTCCTTAGAATTTGCACAAATTAGCTGAAAACTTACACTGTCAAAACAAAGAAACAAACAAAAATGACACATAAATTTTTATATCAGTTTAATTCATAATTGCCAAAACCTTGATGGAATCTCTCAATGTGCCCTTCAATGGGTTATGGATAATCAAACTGTGTTATCTCTTTACAAATGAATGTTTTTCAACAACCTAACGAAATGAGCTATCAAGCTATGAAAACACATAGAGAAACCCTACATGCATATTGTTAAGTGAGAAGGCTAAGCACTGTGATTCCAGTTATATGATATTCTGGAAAAATACAAACCTGTGAATGTCATAGGACTGTGAGACATTGAGGAGAGGCAGGAAGACATGAAAAAGTTGGCATACAGAAGACCTGTAGGCTACTGGAAGTATTCTGTAGGATACTGTAATCCTGAATAAATGCTATACTACATTTGTAAATATCCATATAATATACAAAAAAAGGAAGAACCCTAATGTAAATATTTCCTTTAAATAATAATATAATAATAATAAAATGCCATTTGTAGCCATTGTACCACATTTATACAAGATGTTGGTAATAGGAAAAATTATGGAGCAATTGATGTAGTATGTGAGGGGTCTGCTTTTTCTAGTCACATGTCTGGAATCTTAAACTGCTCTTAAAGGTATTTTATATTAAAAATGGAATGAATAAAACAGCTATATTCAGGCAAAGGAATTAGACATCAACCTGAATAGTTGGAGTCCATCTCGAAAAATCTATGGTGAAAATTGAATTAAGTTTGACATCTACTAAAATACACTGTAAAACAGAACAATCAAAATTACTGTGGCATGCAAGGGTCAGAATCCTGGCTTCCATGTGGTGACATTGTGTGTCTATAAAGTGGCACTGGTGAAATTGTTTTAGCACATCAGTTTTACAGGTGTATATGGATGCAAAAATTCATAAAACTGAGTATTAATAATTTGCCTTTGCATATGAATGTTATGTTTATTTTTGTGAATATTTTTGAAGTCCTTTAGGATTTTCAATTCATTTAACTCCATCATCATCCTTTTTTCCTCTCCCTATTTTTGGAGTAGTTTCAACATGTCTCATTTTTTCATTTTCAAACATGAATACATAATATTTCCACTACATTAAACCTCATTCACCACTTAAAGAAATTATTTAATGTGAATAAGTGTGTATGCATATCTCCAGTTAAATAACAATTGTCACATTTGTGGAAACAAGGAGATAAATATCAGGGAAGGAAAGCTCATGCTATAGTAATTGAGAAGCCCCTACAAATTGAGACATGTAGAGGGAAGGGTGAGTAAATTGTGACCAGGGGAGAATGAACCCAAGAGAAACCCTCCAATGCTAAACTTTAAATAATGTTTTATATGAAGGCCTTGCTCATTATGTGTCCATGTATTTACACCTGAATATTTTGTTTGTAAAATCAATCCTTTCTTCCTCTCCTTTCCATCATTCACTGACCTCTGCTTGGTCATTAGGCTGAACAACAATTGCATACCCTGGTTATGCTATTGTGTGAGACATAATATACACGCTTAAACGTACTTAGAAGGAGAAACAAGTTTATTTCTTCTTATTATAGAATGGGTAAGCCAAACGTGAAGGACAGAAAGAGAATGTTTATTCCTGGAAAGGCTTGTCCTTCTATAGTACAATTCCCATAGATATTCATTAAACATGCAATTTGACTTTCACATCATTGTCCAAGAAAAATTCATTCAAATACTGAAGGTGGAGGTGGAAGCAATCATCACACAAGAATGCCTGAAAATTTTGATCCTAACAAAAATTTACTGAACTGAAAATTATACTTGTGTTAATCCATTTGCAGAGTTGAACTCAATTCAACAACTTTCTCTTTACCCTTGACTTTTGCAATGTTAGTATGAAGCTCACCCATCGTAGAAGAGTCTATTTCTCCACGTTTGAAACTCAGCTGGTGTTAGGATTTTTTACCTTATCCAAAAAAAATTGGTGAAAGTGTCAGTGTGCCTCAAAGGGCTTTAGTGCATCTTTTCTGCTCTCTATTGTAATGTTGGCTGTGCCATGTAAGCAAATCCAGGCTACACTGTTGGAGGATGAGAAAACACAAGGATCAGAGCCTGTTTGACCTGGTCAAGTTCACCCTTTGTATTCTACAAGCAACAAGTCCAATTTCTGAGAAATCTCAGTCAGGGTTCACAGGGTGTCCCCAGATAACTCTCATCCAATTATAGATATACAAGAGACCACAAAAAGCAGAAGACTCACCAACATGGACTTCCACGTTATAAAAATATTTCAAGTCTTTTATTTTATGTTGCCTTGTTCTGCAGCCATAGATTGTCAATATAATAATAACCAATTCAAGCAGAACTCAAGACATTCAGAATAATCCTCTGCATGTTATATTTGGCAATTGTCCAGACATTTGAAGACAAGGTTCACGATTACCTGGCTGTCACATTTATTTCAGGCAACTGTATTTAAAATTGACAATTGTTGGGTTTCCATCCCTGGTAAACAGAATATTTAAAGGGCAGGTGAGTTTGTGAAGAAACCCAGGAATACCTCATGCCCAAGGAGGCAGAGTGCAAATTCCAGGAGGCATTAATAGGTAGGATGAATGATCTTGTGCAAATCATCTTTCACTTGTGAGCACTGAAGAGACATCAGAACATAACACATGAAGTAAAAATGATGATAGAACAAATGCACATATATTTATTCAACTGTTCATTAATGTCCATACTTTTTTAAAGGAGAAGATATTTTGCTGAGGGCAAGAAAAGGTATCATACCTAGAAGTTACTCTAGAAATTTTTAAGCAGACAAATTAAGATAACGAAATGGACAATATAGAACATTACACCAAATCTTTCAGCCCACTGAATAAACCCATTTATGTGGAGACACCAAGAATTCACTCTTCAATGGATAGGCATACATCACTGAATGTAGATATTTCATGGAAGATGCAAGGTGGAAGTTTTAATGTTTATCCAGACTTGGTGGCACATTCCTATAATCTCAGCTACATAGAATGCAAGTCTGGCCCAAGACAAAAAGCATGAGATCTTATCCTAAAAATAATTAAAAGCATAAAAGTTCTGGAGGCATAGCTTATGTCATGGATCACCGGCCTACCAAGTGTGAGGCCCTGAGTTAAAACTCCAGTGACATCAAATAGAAACCTTAATATATGAGTTAACCATTTACATTGTTAAGGTCCTTTCTGACTTTCAGATTTTGTTAAGTCAAAGGATTTATGAAAACCTGCCTTTCTTAGTGACATCTACATTTAATATAAATCTGCTAATGATATTTCATTTCCATTCTGTGCAAAAGGATAGAATAGGAATTGTGACTGAGGTGTAGAATAAGGAAGTAGTGTCCTTACCAGGATAATAAATGCCCACGATCAGCTATAAAACTGAAGGAAACACAATTAAGGTGGCAATATAGAAAGGAGGGTTGAATAGAAAAATTGAAAAACCATGGTCTCAGAATTTCTTTTGTACTAAAATTATATGAATGTCCTCAGATGCCTAGTATAGTTTATTCCAACAGATAAGTACAATTCATCCCTATGTGACATGAATGGGAATTTATAAATTGCTTCTGATCTGATATTGGAAAGTAGAAAACTGACAAAAGAGGAAAATGTTGAATAGGAGAGACTGTGCAAAGCTTACTAATTAGTTTGGAAAAATCAATAAAGCAATGAAAGTAAAAGAAATCAAAACTCAAAAACAAACAAACAAAAAAAGAAATCAAAACAGAAGCAATGTTTGCTTCTGTGGTTTAGAGCCCCAGGACCACATATACTTCTTGCAAAAGAGGTGTTTCATGGCTTCCCTCAGAAGAGTTTTCTCAGAGCCCCCACTAGGTCCTTATTCCTCAGGCTGTAGATGAAGGGGTTCAGCATTGGGGTGACCACACTGTACATCACTGAGGCTCTTGCAGTTGAATGTGAGTTTTGAGTCACGGAAGAACTAAGGTACACTCCCAGGAGTGTACAGTAAAATAAGGAAACAACTGAGAGGTGAGATGCACAGGTGGAAAATGCTTTGTACTTACCCTGAGCTGACGAGATTTTACCGATGGAGGAAACAATCTTAGAGTAAGAGTAAAGGATCCCAGCAAGGGGTCCACCACCCAGCAACACAGCTGCAAAATACATCACCATATCATTAGGGAAAGTATTAGAACAGGCAAGTAGAACTAGTTGATTAAGCTCACAGACAAAGTGTGGTATTTCCAAGTCTGTACAGAAGGACAGCCTCAATGCCATTGAACTTTGTAACAATGAATTCAGGGCAGTTGTAACCCAGGACACAAGAACCAGAAATCCACAGAGCCGTTGGTTCATAATGACTGTGTAGTGCAGGGGGTGACAGATGGCCACAAAGCGGTCATAAGCCATCACAGCCAGGAGGAAGTTGTCCAAAACTCCAAAGAGTATGAAAAAGTATACTTGAGTGATGCAGCCTTCATATGTTATCACCTTGCTGTGTGTCTGAATGTTCACCAGCATCTTTGGAATGCTAGTTGTGGTGAAACAGATGTCAGCAAAGGACAGGTTGGAGAGGAAGAAGTACATGGGAGTATGAAGGTGGGAGTCTGAGACTGTGGCCAGGATAATGAGCAGGTTCCCAACTACAGTGACCAGGTACATAGACAGGAATAGCCAAAAGAAGATAGATTGCAATCTGGGATCTTCTGAAATTCCTAAAAGAAGAAATTTTGAGGTTTGTGTATCATTCTCTGACTCCATTTGTTGATGTGGCTACCAAAAGAAATAATAACATGACACAATTACACAATACAAAACTAAGAAATTTTATCATAATACTCTATAGACTAGATGGTGTAGGTGTATGGATGTGTTTCCTTTTAAGGCCATCTCCTATTTGGAATTCTTGTATCACTCTCAGACTTTCCTCATTATAAATTTTTGAAGGCTAATTCTTTCTTGTACTTTAGGACTATAATTTACTGTTGGTCATATTCCAGATACTGTCTCAGCAATGACAGATCAATGCCAAAATGCTGTTTGTGCTTAAAAGCATGTGAGTGAGAAATTATACAATAGAATGAAAGAAAATGTATCTTTTGAAAGAAAAAATCATGTAATATGTCAGATAGTGTCAGATAATATGGAGTAAAATGGATATAAATGAAGACCTTTTCATTCATATAGGGAATGCTATCTTTTGGTGGGTGTGAAGGCAAGAAAAGTAGACTGTGATACTTAAAGATATTCCTCCAGAAACACACTGAGAGATCCACAATTTCACAGGCAGAAGTCTTTGCCTGGCATGATGAGTGGACAGTGCAAAGGCCCTGAATAAGGTGCTTATCTCAGGTGTCCATGCTCAGTAGGAAACCAGTGTGACTAGGAGAATGAGAAAGATGGAGATTGATGTGAGATGCCTTCAGAGAATAATGAAAAAGTCTGGTAGGCTGCTGAATCTTTAAGACACACGGAGTCTCTATGTTTGAATGTTTTTGAATTCATATTTTATTAATTTGTGTGCTAGTAAGCTGTGTGAATTAAAATGCATCCCTGTTTATTTCTATCTGCTCCCTTATGTTCTGTCCTCTGTATTATGAATTACCTTTTGAAACCAGGTTCTGTCTTTCTAGAAGCTGCTGTCTCATCTAAAGGAAGCACAAACACATTTACACACAAACATGCACACAGAAACACACAATGCTTAAATACATGCTGCATTCCATGTTTTCCTGAGGCCATGTTATAATCATGTTCTTTTCTACCCCAACCAGACTATATAAAGAGAATGAACCAAGCAAGATGTCAACATCTTTTTTTTTCTCTGAAAGAATGTAGGAATGGTACCCAGAAAATTCCAGTTTGTAAATCTCCCAAACACATATAACTTTGGCTTTCTTTTGGCAAGGTCATTCTCTACACTGTGGTTAAAGAAATATAAGAGACTTCTGTACAATTAACAGAGAGGAAGAGAGACATTAAGCCTCCCCAAGGGAAAACATGCTAATAAACTCAAGTGGTCCCTTACAGCCTGTAAGGAAGAAAATGCTTCCTTGTTTTTGACTAGCAAAAATCATATATGTAAAAGACAAATTTGTCAAAAGATACAAATATGACATTTTTGGTGCTCATATAATTACAAATTGAACCTCATGTAGCAAAAAAAAACCCATAAAAGAAAGGGGAAATAAAAAATTACAAAAAGAAAATATAGAGAGAACAAATGAAGTAAGGTAAAACTGTTTTGTTAATGCATGGGAAAAAATGAAAAAGCATGCGCCAAAAATTGTGTAAATGCTTTAATAAAACATAGCTTATTTTGGAGTTAGTATAATTAAAAAATGGAACACAACATGAAATTTGAGAAGATATTTATCTAATACAACTCACTCAATATTGATTTGAGTAATTGGATTTTTTGCATTTTAATTGACATAATAATTAAACATACTAGTGGGGCATAGTGCGATATGATATAGTCCATTGTATAAAATTAAACTGGTAGCATTAGCATATCCACCACCGCAAATTCATTTTATTGTGGTGAGAATATTCAGTATCCCACCTTCTAGCTATTTTGAAATTTAAAATACATGAAGGTTGAATGAGGCATCCTGTGCAATATCAGAGCAGAATTTAATTCCTCCATGTAGTCAAATTACAACTGTATCCACTGATCAACCTTTCCCCGTCCCTCTTTCCTTTATACTCCACAGCCCCTGCTAACCACTGTGCTACTCTATACTTCTGTGAGACTACCTGATTTATATTCCCAAGTGAAGCCTAACTGGTTTTTCTCATTAGATCAAATAAGCCAGACCCAGAAAGACAAATACCACTAGGTTTTGTTTGGCAATAACAGATGAAAATAACTCTATTTTCTTTTTTTTTTTTTCTTTTATTATTCATATGTGCATACAAGGCTTGGTTCATTTCTCCCCCCTGCCCCCACCCCCTCCCTTACCACCCACTCCACCCCCTCCCGCTCCCCCCCCCTCAATACCCAGCAGAAACTATTTTCCCCTTATCTCTAATTTTGTTGTAGAGACAGTATAAGCATTAGTAGGAAGGAACAAGGGGTTTTGCTGGTTGAGATAAGGATAGCTATACAGGGCATTGACTCACATTGATTTCCTGTGCGTGGGTGTTACCTTCTAGGTTAATTCTTTTTGATCTAACCTTTTCTCTAGTACCTGTTCCCCTTTTCCTATTGGCCTCAGTTGCTTTTAAGGTATCTGCTTTAGTTTCTCTGCATTAAGGGCAACAAATGCTAGCTAGTTTTTTAGGTGTCTTACCTATCCTCACCCCTCCCTTGTGTGCTCTCGCGTTTATCATGTGCTCATAGTCCAATCCCCTTGTTGTGTTTGCCCTTGATCTAATGTCCACATATGAGGGAGAACATACGATTTTTGGTCTTTTGGGCCAGGCTAACCTCACTCAAAATAACTCTATTTTCTTATGTGATATCATTTCAGTGTTATTTCATGGCTTTCAGTTTTGAACTCATAAGAATTGAGTTTTTAAAAGAAAAACTCTAGTTTTTCTAACATTTCACTTATGTTTATTATAGTTATTATCACATTGATTATAGAAGTTGATGGTATTTATTCTGATATCTCCTTTTTATTATTGTGGTTCCCCCATCCCTGAAATAGTTTCAACAGGTCTCATTTTTCCATTTACATACACATTTACATAATATTTCTACCATGTTTACTCTCCTGTACTCTTTCCTTTCATCCTCCCCCCTCCCACTGGTATCAACTCCCCAGAAAGGACATGTTTTGCCTTCCTGTTCTCCATTTTAGTAAAAAACAATGACATTTTTTGTTTAAGATAGCTATACAGGGAGTTTCACTGTGATATTTCTATGTATAAATGAAGTTAAGAAGATAAATATGGTTGGTGTACTACCTACACAAGAATGAATATTTAATTTTTAAACTTGACGAAATCACCATAAGAAGGGGACTAAGGTAGAAAGCAGAAAATATAGAAGGAATAAAACAATTTGGATTATAAAACATATATACAAGGAAATGTTGCAAAGAAACTCCCTGTATAGCTATCTTAAACAACCAAAAATGTCATTTTTTAAACAAAACTGAAGAAAAGCAGGGCAGAACAGGTCCTATATGGGGCATGGGTTGGGGGAAGATTGGTACCAGTGAAAGAGTATGGGAGGGTGTAAATTCTATGTAGACATGTTTGTAAATGGAAAAATGATACCTGTTGAAACTGTTCATGGAATGTGGGGAGGGTAGATGAAGAATGATGGAGGGATTGAATTCAAGTATGATACATTTGATATATCTTAAAAACTTTCATAAATGCCACAATGTACCCCACCCAGCCCAACAATAAAAAAGGAGAAAAAAAGAGGGGATGAGCCACTTCAGATTATAGTGAACAGTTTAGTTCTTTTTGTGGTTTTCATCCACCACAGAAAGTACTCCTTGGCCATAGTGTATAAAATGATGCATACATCATGAAAAGTTTAAGTATTTACATGATATAAAATCAGTCTTGTCTATGACTAATCTCCAAAGGCATCACTTTCATCCCACACACATTTATTACATTCTAGACTGTCTCTATATTATGATTCAAGATCCAATGAAGTGATTTCAACTGTTTGGTTCTCATTTTGGTTTCACAGCAGTGTGTGAATATATCTGTGTCATAAACACTAAAATTTAATAAAAGAAAATATTGTTAAATAATATGCATAACAGGAAAATAAAGCTAGGTTAAAATGAGTGGTTTTGAAACAGCTGTATTAAACAAAAGTGGGTTATCAATATTTACGTGAAATAAGATATATAATGCCAATATAACTTAGTGTTATCAATAAACAATTGACAAAGTCCTAGACATAGAAGAATATAATATATAATGTTATTCAAATGCATGACACATAAAAATACTGAGCAATTTTTGTTAAATAAACAGGGTTTGTGCTTTACTAAATATGGACATTTAATACATAACAAAATGTAGTTGAAAAGGCTTGAACAGTTAAACAAAATCTTGGAAATAAATCTATTCTGAAAGAAAATGTATTTGGTTTCCTAGATTCTTTAAAAAATCAGAAGAATTACAGACTACAGTATGAAAGTAAACAATACATCTTAAAGGAACAGCTACTTATAAAAATCATATGTAGACAAAACAATCTTGAATAAAACAAGAAACTCAGAACTCAGTTGATGGACATATTTCACTAAATGAAAGTCTTTGAATTGACACAATGTACCCCAAAAGTAAATAGAGGATCAATTCCATTGAAATGCTGCAGACATTAAGTTATGATAATCATATCAAAATGGTGCTCTATCTCAAAAATAATAAATGCCCATACTTCATTTATATCCCTTAACAGAAAAGGGACTATTTCTCTTCCTGATCTAATTAATTGCAAAGGTCCTTATACATGTGTTCTACTTCTACTGAAGCCACATTGAGCAACTTAATCCCTTTTCTAACTGACATTCAGTTACCATTATTTCAGTCAAGAAAGACTTTTTATTGTTGAGCTCAATGTTCTCTTGTCAGCATGGTAAGCAATCACATCAATGAATTAATCAAACAAGCTAGAAAATAGTCACAGCTATCTCTTAGTTCTTGCCTAGACTGGATTTAGCCTTGTGTGAACTTCAATAAATGTTCTCAGCTTCCATTTCTCAGAAGTTCTTTTGTAACACCTGCTGGGATCTGAGACTTACCTGGGTGAGTGTTGTAAGTGGAAGTTCCCTGTGTGG